TTTTACAGAAAAAGCAAAAGAAAAATAACAAAATAAATTAGAGTTTTAAATTGAATCAAATATAATATATTGTTTATCAAAGTTTTGTTACACCATCATATATTAAATTAATTTAAAAATTACATGTTGATTTTATTTATGTATTTTAATTTAAAAGGTATAATTATCTTTTTTGGATTATATTTAGCATCACACATATTTCAAAAAATATATTTCTGCTACGCAAACTAATTATTGAGTTTGATAATTTTTATCTCTGCTACGCAAATACATATCTGACTATATTAAAATTTTGCTATCTGTTATGTAAAATTTTAGGTAACTTAATCAAAAATTTTTTATGTTAAATAAGCAATCTCAAATCTAACATATACATATATTATTTGGGGTCCTATTTATGGGTTGTTTACCTTAGGAAAGAAAAAAAATATTTTTTGAATATATATGCGATTTGCATATTATACAATCCTGTCTCTTGATTTATCGAACTGCAGAGTAAGAATGAAATAACTTGTAGAAAATCAAGTGATAAATTTTTTTTCTGAGCTATACGAAGAAAAAAAGAGAATTTTACCAATACTATACTACGTATTTCAGGTGATCCATCTTACATGACTAAATTTGAATTTATTGCCTGAAGTAAAACAAGTAAGATAATATTCTAACTTATCTTAGGAATACAATTTTACTAGTTCAGAATCATAAGATAACTGATTCCTATTTTCGCAGTACTATGAGCTATATAATCTATAATTCTCATGTTTTTTATCACAAATAGGGTATGATGAACTCCACGGCTGAGGTGATGTAAAATCATAATTATCAATCCTTCTGAAACTATTTTTGAATTTCAAGTATGGAAAGTACTTTAAGACGGATTTGATAATTAATTCTGGATCAGGTTTAGCTTTAAAAGTGATAGACTTTTTTTCTTCATATTGCTCAAAAAAAGATAAATAAAATACTTTGTTTTCTGGTTTTGAATTTATGAGAAGGTGATCTTCTGATAATTGTCATAGTTCAAGTCCTATTTCTCTTTATATTTTTATATAAGTTAAAATAGATTTTATTCGTCAAAACTTTTGATAATTCAGTTAACTTAGCATGCCAATCTAAGTATTCAGAAGTTAATATTTTATCAGACTTAGTCATGTTGCCTTTTTCTATGATTACAGATCAATTTAAATTCCTAGATAGAAAGCTGTCTAATATTTCTTATTATATTTCCAAAAAAATAATTAGATTATCTTTCGAAGTATCTATAATATAAGAAAGGAGTAATGAAACTATACAGTTATCTCAATTTCGCACTGTTCATACTTAACAAAATAGTATCTAATCTTATATCTACCTTTTATATTTTTCTTATTATCATGACCTAGTTTGCATAATAGGCATGATGTATCATTAGTAATCCTATAATAATCGAAATTTTCACTACCAAATTCTTTATATAGATTAGGATATTAATCTAATATTTTGCTACGAAAATAGGATCAATCATAAGTTAGTTTAGATTAAACTTGTATATTAGTCTGATTGGTTTTTGTTATAAGTGGAATGCTTATTCCAACATCTGGTGATTTTTTTGATCCAGCCTTATTCGATTCAACTAGTAAGTCATATACGTGTGAACAATTGTTCATGTTGATCAATTTTTGTGATTCATCATTATAAAGATTTATTATATTCTGGATTTGTGTATCAGTTAGCCTAAAAATCGCATTAGCGCTAGATGTAACTACTCTAATTTTATCTATTCCTATTCCTTTAAATAAGGTATAAATATTTTTAGCCTTTTATGTCATCTTACGTAAATACTCTCTCTTTTTACCAGAAAGATACAGCTCCATTTTATCATAAATCTGCGTTCTTGTCATTTAATCACTAATATTATTTTCAATTCTAAGGGTTATAACCTTTTTTTCATATTCTTCACTATAATAATACCATTGTAATTTTTTTTCTAACCAGTTTTTTCAACTTTGTTAAATAAATGAGTTAAATAAGATACAGAACCTGAAGTTAGGTTGGTATTGACTGGAACATCTGGAATATGTTTGCTAGATATAGAATTTGATAAGGATATGAAACTATGGCATTTAATAAATTCAAGTAATTTACATATTAAATCTTGTTCTACTTTCTGATTATAGGAATTTTCATCTCTTGATCTCCGATAAATTAACCTGTTTTTCTTCTCATAAGAACCAAGAAGGATTCCTTTAGAGTCGATTCTTTGAATACCTGTTCCAGTAAAGCATGTTTAGTGTTAGTTATGGAGAAGTCTACTTCACTATGAAACAATTCAGAAGTAGTTGAGACGAATCCTGAGAAAGCACATGTGATTGATTAAGCTTTTTTTCCTGCTTCTTCTGCCTAATCTTATTACTAATCTTTTTCTTATGCACCTTATCCAAGAAAGCATCCGTTTTCTTATCCTGATGACATTGGTCTATAATAGGTATATTAACAGCTGATATGGTTACCTCTGATAATCCCTCTGGTATTGGTTTTTGGGTAATGAAGTATCCACCAATGGTTTCTCATGATGCATTACCATGGGTACCTGATCTGCAACAAAATTGAAGTTAGATGAACTTTTGCTAGAAGAATTATTTTCCTTTGGGTCATTTAACATCTGTTTCTGTTCCACTTTCATGATTCTATCTCTAAACTCAACATTTTCAGATTCCAACTTCTCGATTCTGGTCTTGAGTTTGGCATTCTCGGCATCACACCTCTTATTTTCTTCCACACCCTGTTTTAGAAGCTCAGCAATTCTGGCCTTAAGTTCAGTTCTCTCAGCATCAATCTCCTTCTAAGTTCAGGGATTTCAGTATTCTTATCCTTAAGCTCATCATTCTCGATCTTAATCTCAGAAACCTTCTTCTTAAGCTCTGCAATCTCGGCTAAGAGTTTAGCATTTAATTCTCTCAACGAATCAATGGATTGCATGTTTGATAATATTCTTTTTTATATAAGATGGAATAATTCAAAAGATCGTTAGCATAGATAAAAAAACCGTGACAAAATGTCACGATCGGAATTTCTGATTTATTGATGTAAAAATAAATTACAAGATTCGGTAATACATAAACTTATTTTACAGTGTGAATGGCGTTTCTATACTAATGCCTGCAGACCACACCAGTTTTTCGCTTGCCTATACTACTAATACACATTATCCCACTTCGTGATCCGGTTTCATTGTCCCAACCATCGATATTCTAGATAAAACAAAAAACAGTTATACTTGTATGCAGTGTCGGAAAATAAATCAATGGATAATAACATTAACCAATTTTATGTTGTTTGCAATCCGTGATTCTAGTAAAGCCACAGCCGAAAATATGTTTCATTCATAACTTAATTGCGAAGTGTATCGTCCGGACTTCGTCAGCACTTCTTTCAAATCGCGATATGTCAGTTTCTTTAGGCTCAGAGAAATGCTTGCGGTTGTCAAAAAAAGTTAGTGAAAATCACGTCACTGAGCGTTACTGCGCTTTATTAATTCATTCCGATTAGTCAAATACGGTCAATCGTACGACCACTCGTACAACCTAAAAATTACGTAACACTAATTCGCCTTTTTTAATAAATACCCTGAGAATTTGTCGGAGAATCAAAAATCTAATGAGTAATGATAAAACCGTATTAATCATTTTTTTCGAGTACTGATAAATTACACTTTTTTTTTACTATGCTTATTAATTTTGGTCGAAGTATCTATATTATTTGCTGTACTACGTCATTACAAGCCACAAAAAGCTTATGCAAGAGTCTATGTCACGATGTATTCAGAAAAGTATATAAACCTAAGACTTCCCTCAAACTTACTATTACTTATTCTATCACTTTTATAACTTTTTTACAGCGATATCATCGAAATGGATACTTCATTTAATTGTTCCATCTTAATACCCTCAAGCGACGATCCTGAAACTATTTCGGTTGATATTTACAAAGACAATAAGAATAGAAGATATTTCCAACGTGGTAAATTAACACAGGTCACCTTAGCCAATTTCAAAGTTTCACATCTCAAGGAACATATATGTAATATATATGATATTAAAGAAGTTGAACAGCGTAAAGTGAAACTCTGGAGAGTTAATGTCGAAGCGGAAAGGATTGAAAATAATAATATTTCTACTGAAGATGATATTGTACATAAACTTGAAGGACAAAAAATGAGAGATAATGACTTGTTTAATAAGTATTTTAAAACTGAATTAGCTGATCATAATAAGATTGTAATGGGAAACATACATATTATCACCATCATCCCCACCATTGTTTCCACCTCCACTGGTAAGTGTCTCCCAACGTTTTACCTCTCGAACAAGAAATTTGCAGTAACAAAATATCGAGTTGGTCTGATCTTTTTTTCGCGTTAAAGCAGGTCCCTCCAAACAAGGCGTTCCACAAGGTACGGCATCCGCAGTTAAATTACTACTATTGTTTTTAGTTTTATATCCTAACCCACCACTATTAATACATGTAGACGCGGTTGATTGGAATAATGTTGATTCGATCTATGACTGGATAAAAGAGTTAAAACGACCTGATGAGAATCAGAAGTCCAAGGTATGTTTTGTTTCACACCTATTTCCTTTGGTTTTCTGGCCACGTACTGACTTCATGTTAGCTTGTAAGTTCCTTTGGTGCCGAATTTCCTTTACAAGGACGAGACGAAACTCTTCAAATATTACTTAATGGAAATCAAACGCGAAATGGGATTCGTCAAAGACTTGATTATATCAGGGAAAAAAGATATGACAAGCAACTCCATCATATTCCCATCCTGGCTAATGGGCCAGGCACAGGGAAAAGTCGATTCCTCCAAGAACTTCTGACTCTCTTAGAACAATATCGCAATCGCAGTGAACATGTACTTGGTAATTCACAAGTATTAGCTATAAATATTACATTTAATACAATTACTAATGCATCAGATGAAGATGCATCTGCTGGTCCAGCATCGGTTGCACTGTGAATGCTTTATGAATATTTTATCTCTGGTAGCGAGACACTATACTTTAATCAATTTATGAGAATGTGCAGAAATTGGAAAACTCTCAAAATTGAAACTGCGTGTGATGTTGTTCTTAAGGATATTGGTGGCAATATAGGTTTTTTTGTCATTGGAATCGATGAGCTAAATGTCTTGCACAATCTAGCAAAGGATAATCAAAGACCAGTTCGTGACATCGTTCATGCTATCGGAGGCCTAATTACCAATTCGAAAAAAAATTTGCTCTATGTACCAATCTTGGCCGGAACAATTCAAGGTCCTCTTGAGAAATTTATTCAGGAATCGACGTATGATCTTTTACGTTTACCGTTCCGTCTTCTTTCAGATGAAGAAGTAGAGAAAATTACCTCATATATGAAAGAAGATCAAGAATTGGCAGGCTGTATCAATCACAACAAAACCTTTCAACGCTTTATTAGTGATATTGGTGGACAAGTCCGAGCTTTGGAAATTTTCTATAAAGAATGATTATGTGCAATTAAGATGAATACACATGTTATTGATTATAAGTTTGTTTTTCAGCTTGTTAATCACCGCCTTAAGAAAAAATATCCATTTAAAGAGTTTGCAACTATTATGAAACCAGTGGTTGCATATGCAATCCTAAACATTCCTGTTGATGAGGATGACGAATTTGAAATTGGTAATGATAAAATCTCTTATATTGATCTCGCGTCAAAGGGCATTATAAATTTGGAGGTTACATGTGATGATCCTAATAAGTCCTATGTACGTATGCCGTATATATGGGTTTGGATAACAACATCAATCAAAGAATTCAAAGCGGGTCGATTTTGGGATGTTATGATTAATCATAAATCTCATACCTTGTGGCAGAGTTTTGAAGAATTTAATATGCGATTTTGGGTCCTACGTCTTCAACTTTTTAAAGAGTTAAATGATTCAGTAACATTACGAGATCTCTTCAGAAGTGCATATCATAATGATCAAGGAATCTCTCTTTTTGATCTTGAATTTCGGCTCCCTACAGTAGAAAAATATTACGTAGAACTTACAAATCGATATCCTTACACAATGAACAATGAGCACTTATTGCTTGGCACAGTATTTAAGAATGCCGAAGGAGCCCCATGGGATATCTTTCTTTTTCTGGATGATTACCTTATTGCCATTCAGGTTAAATCTTCAAATGCCACAGCTGGACAGCCCCAAACCTTATCTAAGAGGATGGTGGAAAGCGAGTACAAGAAAGTTAAAGATGCATTTGAAGTTATGGAGAAATCATTTGAGAGCGAAAGTCCCATTAAACATTGGGTCCTTTTCATCTGCACCAATGGACCTAAGACAAGAAATTGTTTGGAATCTTTAGAAAGAAATTGTTTCGTAATAGATCGTGAAAACTATAAGCTCTTCTATGGGTATACTTTTTCGACCCGTGCTGAATTTTCGGCAGGTATGAGTTGATATCTTTGTATTATATAATTATCTTTATAACCTTACATTTGTTGTATAGATAACGACCAATTGGATGCAAATACTGCGGAGGAATACGAATTAAGAACAATTAGTGGAATAGGAGATGCAATTGCATCTGCCATCACGGATAAAAGACCATTTGAGGATGAAAAAGATCTTTATAATAAGGTTAAACAAATTCCTATGGAGGCGAGAAAAAAAATCAAGGTTATGAAAAATGAATAGAACAAATTGGTAGAATTGCTGTAATTGTAAACATAGCAATTTCATGTAATATTTTTTTTAAACTTTGCAATGTTGCATACAATAAAAACCTGATATTCCGATACAAATGATGCTTTATTTTTCGTATAATATAACGAAATAAATGGAATGTATGACATGCTTTTCAAGAAGGAAGTACGCGGAGACTAGGCTATTTAATGCGAGACTCCTAGCATCAAGTTATTTCTTTTGTTTTATATAGATTTCTACAACTAACTTGTTTCTATCTATATCGCTAACTACACCTCCATAATCTTTCTCTACCTGATTTCTTACCAATATCTACAAATCTTCTACCCGCACAGATTATGTAAAATAATATTCCCCACAAGAAACTACATAATGTCTAACGCATCTATTTTTCGTATACAGAGGGTGATCACGGGTTTTGTTTACATGTTTACATATATTTCTAATTTAAGCATTTGTTTAGGATATAAATGGATGTCGATCACAATAATA